ATCTGCTATGCGTTCGCAATTCTGCCGCGTGTCCAGAGGAAGACGCGGATGCCATCGAGGCAATGGTGAACAGTGTGCTCGCGGCAATGCAGGAGTTCGGTGTCGACTTGGTCGAACGTACCACGGCAGTCTACTTAGATGGTGGAAAGGCATTAACCAATGTGTTTCGGCGCCGCTTTCCTGATGCGACCCACGTCCGGTGTTTGCAGCACGTGAAAAAGGAGTGACACGCATAAGAATCGCACATCCCCATCCCCCCTGTCCGTTCTACTCTTCTGGCTCCTCCTCCTCCTCCTCCTCCTCCTCCCCCCTCGTAAAATCATATCCCTGTCTATTATCCCCCGTTCCGCCTCTCCTCCTTCCTTGCTTCTTCTCCTCCTCCACCTTCGGTCGCCTCTTCCCCTTGTTCTTCGCCTTCAACTGTTTTCTCCTCCGATTTCCCGCCCGCCCCCCATAGGACATTATTAAGGCGAAGCGGCATTGGAAGCACAGGGATTACGGATCTGACTGCTGCGACTACGCGCACAGGAGTGCGTTCCTTCCGCCGCATCTTTTCGATCATTTCTGGCAACGGGTACTGCAAGATCTCCATGACCAAGACGAATCACAGTTCGCAAATTATTTCAAAAAGTGGCTTTTGTATGAACAAGAAGGGCGTCTATGTGCGCTATGGCAGAGCTACGGCGGGCGAGTCCTCCCACCATATTCAGCGTATTGCTCAAACTGTATAGAATCGTTTTGGAATGTAGTTGGCATGGGCACAAAAGACAAGCCGAAAACAGCTGATGTGTTGGACGAACTCAAGTTCCTGGAGCGGACAGCGAAAACATGGTTTAAAAAGAACAAATTCGCCGACGTGGAGCCCTACATCACGAATGGTGCTCACGGGGGCCTTCCACCGTCGAGACCTGCTAATGTACTTCTCAAGGGGCGCGGGCGAAAAGCCGATGCAGGCCCCGCTGACGACAAGAACCGGCCTCGAAAACTCACGGCCCAAGGAATCATACGCATGGCAGAGGAAGGACAGTTCATGTTAGAGAAGCAGGATGCATCAGGCAATAAGATGTGGCTCTGTCCTAAATATGATGGGAACGAGTACAACGAGGCCAAATTCGAAACCATCTTCAATGCTATTCACACAGGTGTGGGGGCAACCGACCAAGATCGAGCATTCCGTGATCTTGGTATCAAAACGGGTGATGGCCAGAAAAATTACGATGTTCTCAAAATATTATACTACACTCGTCATTTCACACTGCTCACGCAATGCGCTGACAATTCCATCACGGAGACGCACCAGAATTTCATCACAGACGGCCAGACAGAGCACACGCTATGGCTTCAACATAAGCTTGGGCACGCGAGCCACCTGCCCATAAGTGAAGTGCGGGCGCGCCGAACGGGCAGAGGAAAACGCAAACGAGATGCCGAAGGCGATGGTGTGAAGTCCAGGGGCCGCGGCAGTGGCGGCCGCGGCCGCGGGCGCCGAGGCCGGGGCAGACGTGGAGTTCTTGAAGGAGAAGGCGATGCTGAACGCATCCGCCCCCTCGGCGGAATTCACCGCGAGCGTGCACCTCGACGAGGTCAGCCCGAAGCACCAAAACCATTGCCAGCTGATCACTCGCCGACGCAGTCCGAGAATACACTCTTGGAGGCGGACCTTTTCGGGAGTTTTTCGTCCAACGAAGCGTCGCTGGACGAAGGCATGACACCACCAATGCCCGAAGACCTCGACTTCGATGACGGTGAATTGGCAGAAGAAGCAGTGGACCCAGAGGCTAAGTGGCCCCACGTGCAATCTGGCACCATCGTCATACACGACGACGAAGGCGACTCCGATAACGAAGTGTGCATCATGGTGTATCCGCAAGAACTGCCGCATCATGCAGGGCCCCCGGACAACTTGTTGACCGTCCGCGCGCCGCGCGGCACGACAGCCAAGACCGTGCACGAATATGTCGGGAACGCGTTCGCGGCCATGGGGGGGCAGAGGGAGCTTGCCAGGAGGGGGCCTCTTGTAATCAAACGCCTTCCACACCGTCGAACCGAAACAAAAAACATGAGGAAGCAAAGGAGGGGAGAATGTAGGATGTAGGAAATGTGATGTTCCCTGCCAGGACGCCGACGAAATTGTTCTTGTTCGACGCTATCGACAACGCGCACATCGGGCCGGACTTCGTTTTCCAGAAAGACATGGAGCTCGAGGTGATCGTGAGCGACGCCTGACGGCGCCGCTTGAGGGCGCGACGGTGCAGGAATGACAGGGAGGGAAGGGAAGGGTTTGAGCATCAGGAGGAAGAGGGCGATGAACGCGAGACACAATAGATAAGAACACGCTGTGCAAGCAGACAGTGGTGACGATGGCGACGGATGGAGGAATGAGGATACGCCAATAAGACAAATAGAACGAGGTGGAGAATGACGAAGAAGTAGAAGACGAGTGGAGCAGAGAGAAAACGATTGGGAGAAGGAGGAATAGGACGGACAATAATGCGAGTGCCACGTCTCCGCACAATTAATTGCCCTGGAGGGCTGACTGGTGCAAGACGCCGCTTGCCTTTGCAAGCGAAGCATCCGATTTAACGAAGCTCTAGCCCGAGCTATGATGTTCGGCGCCCCCTGGCCGCCCTGAGCGCCAAAAAGTAAGAAGCTGGGATGGGAGAGTGGGAAGAATGGAAGGGAGTCGGAAACAGATATCGGAATGGGGGCAATCCGGAATGGGAGAGAGCCGAAATAGGAGGGAGAGAATCGGAATGGGAGGAATGGGACAGAGCTGGAATAAGAAGAATGATAAGGAATCGGAAGAGGATATAAGAATGGGACCAAACCAGATTGGGAGGGAACCGGAACAGGTAGAAGAGAACCGGAATCAGAGAAATGGAGGAATGGGAGAGAGCCCAAATAAGAGATAATCAATATGGGATGAAATCGGAACAGAATATCGGAATCAAACCGGAATGGGAGAGAGCCGGAATAGGAGGGAGAGAACCGGAATGGGAAGAATGGGAGAGAACCGGAATAAGAAGATAAATGGAAGGGACATCGGAAAAAGATATCGGAATGGGAGCAAACCGGAATGGGAGGGAGCAGAAATAAGAGGGAGAGAACCAGAATGGGAGGAATGGGAGAGAACCGGAATAAGAAGAGAAATGGGAGGGACATCGGAAAAATATATCGGAATGGGAGCAAACCGGAATGGGAGGGAGCCGGAATAGGAGGGAGAGAACCAGAATGGGAGGAATGGGAGAGAACCGGAATAAGAAGAGAAATGGGAGGGACATCGGAAAAAGATATCGGAATGGGAGCAAACCGGAATGGGAGGGAGCCGGAATAGGAGGGAGAGAACTGGAATGGAAGGAATGGGAAAGAACTGGAATAAGAAGAGAAATGGGAGGGAATCGGAAAAATATATCGGAATGGGAACAAACCATAATGGGAGGGAGCCGGAATAAGAGGGAGAGACCCGTTGTTGCCAGTTGCGAGTCCCGTCGTTGCCAGTTCGGAGTCCCGTTGTTGCCAGTTGCGAGTCCCGTCGTTGCCAGTTCGGAGTCCCGTTGTGCCAGTTGCGAGTCCCGTTGTTGGTTGCGAGTCCCATTGTTGCCAGTTGCGAGTTGCGAGTCCCGTTGTTGCCAGTTGCGAGTCCCGTTGTTGCCAGTTGCGAGTCCCGTTGTTGCCAGTTGCGAGTCCCGTTGTTGCCAGTTGCGAGTCCCGTTGTTGCCAGTTGCGAGTCCCGTTGTTGCCAGTTGCGAGTCCCGTTGTTGCCAGTTGCGAGTCCCGTTGTTGCCAGTTGCGAGTCCCGTTGTTGCCAGTTGCGAGTCCCGTTGTTGCCAGTTGCGAGTCCCGTTGTTGCCAGTTGCGAGTCCCGTTGTTCATATATATATATATATATATATATATATATATATATATTTATAGAGACACACCCCGCCCCCCCCCCCCCACACACAACACACACATATATATATATATATATAGCAAGTGCGGACACTCCTGGGCGGCCATGCAGCGAAAGCTGTCTCGATGAGACCTCATTTTCTCGTGTGCATGCGCGAACGGCAACCATGGGAAGCGAGCTAAACTGGGGCGGTCAAGCGCCCCTCTGAGACATAAGCAAGCACAACTCCCGTTCCCCCAAACGGGCAGACTGGCCTACGGCCGGAGCCCCAGGGGCTACTGAAAGAAGATTGAAATTCACGAACACATGATGTCAACTAGACGAAGACCGTGCATCTGCTCGGAAGAGTGCGCCAGGACAGCGGCAGCAGATCGAGCAAAGGGCAAAGGGTAGGCGGCGGCCAGGCTGGTCCACTTTCGGCCGCCTGGAGCTGTCCCTGACAGTTCTATGTGATGCTCGCCCGTGCGAGAGCAAATCCCTTTCTTTCCACTGCATTTACGAGTAAGCGGCTGCATGCTGGAGATGTTCCATCCCTGCAATCGAGTGGCTTTACGCCAGCGAGCACCATACTGACAGAGGTGGCACACTACACAGCTGGATTCGGGTTGAGCACTGAGGCGAGCGAGACGCGGCGCCGCCCAGAGCAACGAAGTTTGCGGATTCTCTAGCAGGACTGGCACACTAAAGAGGTTGGCCAACGTTATCACGCGGCACGAAAAGTGAAGGGTCGCATTACCTATACGAGCTCTAGCAGACTCGCTCTCCGAGAGACCGGGCAGTCCCATTGGTGAGGTAGCATCGCGAAGAGGTCTGCGAAGGGCCCGTGTCTAAGACGTGCACGGAGTGCCTGAGAAAACTCCCAAGACAAGGCCACCCTTGATCCAGCCACAAACGAGCCTTTCAAAAGTTTTGTCAAGATGATCCTCACAGGGGCCATGCAATAGATCTAAACTGAGAGCTCCAAATCCTTCAGCCCGCAGGGCCTTGGCGACCTGACCAGTCCCACCAAAAAGTTCCAAGAAGACACCGTGCTGCCGCTTGCGGGCAGACTTGAGCTGGCCGGCGAGCAGCCGCTTCAAATGACGCTGAATCTGAGCAGGAGAAGCTACGGCAGCGCGGCTGCGATCAGCGCCTGCACGGGCGCGGGCAGCTGCTGCCACAGGCGCGGACGCTGCGGCAGGGCGGGCCCCAGCTCGACAATCTCTAGCAGGTTGGCATGCACGAAGCGGCCGAACCCGAAGACCCAATCTGGGACTTTGGTCATGGCATCCTGGAGGTAGGCCTCTTTGGCGTACCGCTTCATGCTGCCCGGCGAAGCCCACCTGCCGTGCCTCTGCGTCTGCTCCAAGGTTCTCCTCCCCTCCAGCAGGTCCCAGCTCGCCCCGCCGTGGCGCAGCGCGTACAAGGTCGGGTTGAGGGCCTGGAGCTGCAGCAGATCGGCAAACTCCCTGAAGCGCTCGCGCAGCGCCGGCAGGGTGAAGTCCCAGAGGCTCTGGTCGAGGCCCACGGCGCCTCTGAGGCCGGCAGGCAGCGGCCACAAGTGCCGGTCGAGATCGATCACCACGCTCTCGTTGTACAACCCTGTCTTGCCTGGGCGGCCGCCGCTGGTTGGGTGCAAAAGCAGCACCCAGCTGGCCGCCGAGGCCGCGGCCTGCGCTGCCGGGCGCACTAGCGAGCCGCCGCGGAGCCCCTGCGCCTCGAACGGCCTCAGGTAGCAGCTGAACGACAGCAGGATCCAGAGAGCCATGCGGCGACGCCCGCTGATGGCCAAGAGCCCGGCAAGCGCTGCCGCTGCAAAGTACGGCAGGGGCACGCGGGTCATTGAAGGCACGCGCCTCGCCCACGCGACCGAGCTCCTGGTGGCCCGCGGCAGCTGCGCCTTCCACGAGCCCTGGAGGCCTGGCAAGAAGTGCGCCAGAGACGCCAGCAGCAGCGAGCCCTGGCTGGCAGGGGCCCCGAGCTCGAACTGTCGGTTCAGAAAGCGAGTAGCCACTGAGTCGAGTTGGTCGAAGTCCTTCCAGTCCAGGTGGTTCGCAGAGCAAAAGGCGGTGAACTCTGTCAGGACGCGCCGATACTGCTCCTCCGTGCTGGACCGCACCGCAAGCGTCTCCAGGGCGCTGAGCCGCCCGAGCGGCGGCCGCTCGGCCATCAGGCGGCCGGCCAGCGCTGCTCGCCTGCCCCGGGCCTCCAAGGCAGCTGGCGGCGGCCTCCTCGCAGGTCGGCGAAGGACTGCCGGGCGACCAGCAGCCTGGCGGCGCCTCGCCGCCATGCGCCAGAGGTGGCGCTGCACGGGCGTCGGAATCTGAAAACCAGGTGCGGCGCCCTCGAGACAAAGCGTCGGCGGGGTTGCGTTCTGACGGAATCCATCTACAGTGCAATCTCGTTCCTGTGGCAAGCGACATCATACAAATCTTTAACAGTGGAAGTAAATAAGCTGAGGATGCTCTTCCTTTCGCAACGGCTAGACACAAAGGCATGTTATCGACAAGTGCCAGAACCCGTTTCCCTCGGCAGGCTGAAGACCTCAAAAGATGCTTGTAAGCGACAACCAAGGCGTCTGCATCCAATCCCAAGATGTTCTGGCCCTCCTGGACCTTCGTGGCAACCACACCCTTCCAAGACTTAGCATCCAAGAGACCCATGGGCACCTCGTCGAACTCCTTGAGCTTCTTGCCGAGATCCAAGATCAGGGGGTCCTCGCTGTGGAGCTCCGTGTCGGGGTCCTCGGGAATCTCGTAGGGGTCCAGCGTGCCAGGCGAAGCCGAGACGAAGTTCAACTGACTGTGATCAACCGAGACCTCCCTCCCCTCTGACTCGCAAAGACCTGCATCTGACGACGAGGCACGAGGCGGGCAGGCGGGAGCAGCGGAGAGGAGCGCTCGATCTCTCGCACGCGCCCCGCCCTCCACACGATACCGCCACCGCTCGCACAGCCGCCCAGAGCTAGCTATGAGACTACTCGAAGCCCCTCCTCACTGGCGTCGCTCGCCACGAGCCGCGTGGCCCAGGGCGCCGTGAGGTCCGCCACCAGGAGCGGCAGCAAGCAGCGAGCGCGCCAAAGCTCCGTGCGCACGGAGGGCCAGAGCGTCTGCACCACCGAGCCCGCGGCCAGCATGAAGGCGTAGGTGGCGTTGAGGAGCCCCAGCGCCTCTCGCCTGACCATCGAGGCCCAGGTCAGGTGGCCCACCAGCACGCGCACGAGGTGACCTGAGGCGCGCCCGCGCCTCAACAGCTCCTCAATGGCGAACTTCAGCCTCCAGACCATGCGCCCCTTGATGGCCAGCCAGCGGCCCTGCCTCAGCTCCATCCCGAGAAAGCTGCACGTGTCGGACGCCCGCTCGGGCTCGTGGACCTTCACGCCAGCGCCCTCCAGCTCCGCGGTAATGCGGTCCAGCGCGCGATCGGCCTCGGCCTCTGCACTGCCGACGGCCAGGTAGTTGTCAACGTATCCAGCGACCGCCGCCTGGCCTTGAGGCTCCACCAAGACGCCTGGGAGCCCGTCCTCGATGACCAGGTGGGCCGGCACGCCAGCCCGCGACACCGCTGTGCGCAGCGCCAGCTGGCAGAGGTGGAGCGCCCACGAGAAGCCCATCGGGGGCACGACCAGGCACGCCTGAACACGCGGGGCACCAGGAAGACCAGAAATACCACGCGCCTCCAAGTGCCGTCGGTCGATGGGTGGCAACCTGAAGTAGCGGCAGAGGCCCTCGGGCATCAGCATCCTGTAGAAGGCGTTGTCAATATCACCAGCGGCGACGACGACCCTGCCTCCAGGCGCCTCCAGGCCAGCGAAGGCTGCGGCGCTCGGCAGTGCAGTGGCTGGCGGGTCCGTGAAGTACGCGTTCGCAGTACGCGTGTCAAAAATGAGCCTCAGACGATTGCTCTTCTTTGCGACACAGAAGACTCCAATAGGCTTGATGCTGGGGTCCTCCGCCTCGAAGCAGATCATCTTCCGCTGCAACATCTCAGCAAGGAAGTCGGCGAAGGTCGCCGGAGAGAAAGCAAGATGGGGATCGACGTACGGCCCCCGCGGGCACACCTGCTGCAGGAGGGCGTCTGCCTCCTCGCGACCGCGTAGCATTTTCGTGCTCCAATCCCTAAGCCACTGAGCGTCCGGGCCAGCAACGACCCTCGTAAGAGGCACAGGGTCGTCACCAGCATCGGGCCACGAGATCAGGTCCCGCGAGTAGGGTCGGCGCGGCCCGCCCGATGCGTACAGCGGGGAGCCAGAAAGAATATCCGAAAGAGCACCTTCGGGAAAGCCCTCATCCTCAACGATCGGCTTGAGGCATGCGAAGGCAGACTGGATGTGCGCGAGGGACGCCCGTTGACCTTCGGCGAGACCGAGGGAAGACGGCTGGGCCCCAGGAGCACACACAGCGTTCATGACGTCGACGGCGTCGTTGGCCCAGTCGTGCCAGAGAGCGTCATCAGGAACCCGATGGCGTCCACGGCGGCTGCGCCCAAAACTGGCACCCTCGTGCCGGCGGCCCAAGTACGGCAAGGGGAAGATATCCCGCTGGCGCGCGTCTGGTTCAGCACGGCGTGAGGGCTGAGGTGACCCGGCGACCGAGGCGGCGGCGCCAGGTGGGCAAAGTGGCGGGAGCGGCCGCCCAACTCCGCTCCCCGCTCCGAGGCTACTTGTCATCCTTGCCAGAGCCCTTGTCGCCCTTGGTCCCCTTCTTGTTCTTGCGGGCCAAGTCGCGCTCCTCTCTGGCTTTGCGCTGCTCCTTGCGGTAAGCGTTCATCTTCGTGAGCTCGTCCTTGATGTGGTCCTGCAGCAACGGCGCCACGCACACGTTACCGCGAAGCTGGTCGGTGCCCAACAGCACGTGGGCGTCGAGACTCCCCGAGTCGACTGCCGGGGCGACTCGATCCCTGTAGCGCTCCTCCTGGAGCTGCACGGTCCTGGCTAGCATCTCGCCTGAGGCGAGGTTCGCCACGTTGAGCTGGTCGTAGATCACCATGCGCTCGAGCGTCCTGCAAGCCCGTTCGTGCTCGTCGACGCCTGGCTCATGGCCCTGCAGACGCGTCTCCGACAGCCACCGCGAGTGGCGCCCCGTCGGAGTGCCACCGTGGGCCTCCATGAACTTGAGGACCCACAGCGCCGTCCTGGGGCATCTGACAGGCCAGTCAGGGAAGGCCCCCTCCGACATGCCCATGACCGCCGTGCGGAAGTCCGCGTGCCGCTGCCCCTGCAAGTCGTAGGTGACCGGCTGGATGCGCGCGTCGGCCAGCGCAGGGGCGGCCAGCGCACCACCACCAGCTGCAGCAGCGGCGGCAATCGGCGCAGCAGCGGGCGCCGCGACCAGCGGCGGCGGCGGGCCCACGGCCACGGGAGCGCCTGCCGCGGGAGCCGCTGGCGCGGCCCCAAGCACGGCAGCCAGGCCGGCAACTCCTGCCGCCACAGCGGGGGCACCACCCGCGGGCGCAGCCGCAGCAGGCGGTCCAGCGACCAGCACCCCAGCGGGCGGCATGCCTCCGCCAGCAGCAGGCGCTGCCACCAAACCTCCAGCAGCCGCCGCCGCTCCCACTGCGCCGGGCCGAGGTCGCGCTCCACCGCCGCCGCCAATCAGGTTGGGCGTCACCGCATCGCCTGCGCCTAGCTGGATCCCCAGCCGCGCCGCTGCAGCCGCCAGCACCTGCGCAACCCGCACGGGCGAGGGAACCCCCCTGAAGCCGTGCACGTGCATACCTGCGGCCGCCGGCGGGTAGGCGCCCATGCGTCCGCCATCACAGGGAAGCCAGCGCCGCACCTCCGCGGCCGAGAAGAGATCCTCCTCATAGCTGTCGTCGTCGGGCGTGAGGGTGCAGGTGAGGCTAGAGCCGTCGGGAGCGAGCACCACCAAGCGCTCGTGAAACACGTTGGGGTACCCCGCGTACTCGACCAGGATGAAGTCCCCCTCCTGAAGGCCCAGCGCGGCAACGGGGTGCACGGCCGCCATCGCCATCTCCTGCTCAGCGGGTCAACTGAGACCGCGAGGCACGCAGAGCCGCCACCTGCGCCGCCGCCAGCTGCGCTGCAGAGGCCGGCGCCTCCTGCGCTGCTGGAGCAAGTCCCGCGGCCGCGCTAGGCAGCGCAGGGGCCGGGGATTGAGCAGCGCTGCTCCACCTGCCGAAAGCACAGCCCGCGGCGGCCACCACGGCCAAGCTGACCAGCCAGGCGAGGCTGGCCCCCAGCGGCTCTGGCCGCTGGACCTCGGAGACCGAGCCGCCCGGGCGCGCCAGCCGCGGCTCGCAGGAGCATGTGCACGAGGGGCACGCAGGGCAAGACGGGCACTGCGCACCCCAGGCCGCGCCCCACGCCGCCGCGCCCGCGGCGAACCCCCGCGTGGCCTCGCGAAGGAGGAGGCCAGCGGGGTCCATGCGCGCCCGACGCGCCTCCGCTCGGAAGCCCCTGGGGCCTCGGAGCTTGAGCAGATCGGCCGCGGAAGCGCGGTGCGGCCGCCTGCTCGCTCCCCTCCTCGCTTCACGATGTGAAATCTCCCATATATATACTTATATATATATATATATATATATATATATATGTATATATATAGGTATATGTATATACACACATATATATGTATACATACACACACACACACATATATATATATATATATATATAAGTTCTTTGGGTCACTACGCTCAGACGCGCCTCTAAACCTCCAGTAGCGTTTTCGAGGACAAGCACCGCAGCCCCAGGGATCGCTGTGCCTCGTCCGAGAGCATTCGGCCCGAATCGGGGGGCCCTCAGCCGACCGCGTCGGCGGGCCTCCAAGGGCGGCCCCTGGCCGCAAACCGCCCTCTCCCGAAACGTTGGGGGTGGCGCGGAGTGTGCCCCTGGGCTCGGGCGCCAAACCGGGATCACACCAAAGCAAGCTACACGGAGTGGTTAATAGGAGGGAGCCTCAAGAGGCTAGGCGCACCCACCCTCCTCATATGCACCTACACATGCGTATATACGGCCATTGTTCGCTCCCCCGCCCATGGTCACTACGCTCAAACGCCCCTCTAAACCCCGAGTGACGTTTCCGAGGACAAGCACCGCGGCCCCAAGAAACGCTGCGCCTCGTCCGAGAGCATTCGGCCCGAATCGGGGGGCCCTCAGCTTACCGCGTCGGCGGGCCACCAAGGGCGGCCCCTGACCCCGAGCCGCCCTCTCCCGAAACGCTGGGGGGGCCCCATTCCCCCACGCGTTGGCCCAACGGGCCGCTCTTAGCAACCCTCCCGTGGCTCCACAAACCGTCAGGCTGGATCTACTTAGTTAGAAAGCCTTTGCCCCTGACCGTGCCGCCTCACACTGCAACCCGCGCCCTCTCTCGGGGCGATCGGGACGAGGGCTGTCGAGGGTGAGTCGGGAGAGGGCCGCCGCCTCTCGCCTGCGAGAGAAGTCCGAAAGGTGGGGCGCGTGAGAAGCAGGTCATAACCTCTCTTGCCTGCAACCTGAACCCTTTCAGGAGACCACCGACACTTGTGGCCACGACGTCCCTGGCACGACCCCGCAATAGCTGTGCCTCGCCGAGAGCGGGGGGGCCGTCGAAAGCCGTCGAAACGGCCCAGGGCGGACCAAGGCCCCCAGGAACGACGCGGCACCCTGCAAGCCATCGTTGGTTTGCCCATGGGCGAGACAGGAAGAGGACCTCTGAGGCCAGACCCGTGGGAGAAAAGGCCGCCCCCTCTTTTCCTACCACCTGCGCCCCGTCCAGGACTCCGCCGACACCTGCGACCGCAGCGTCCCTGTGCCGACCCCGAAGCAGCTGGGCCAAGCCGAGAGCGAGGGGCCGCCGCGTCGCCCCGCGATGGCCCAGGACCCCCACAGGGGCGCCGTGGCATCCCACAGGCCAACGCTGCCTTGCCCATGGGGCGTCTCAGGTAGAGGACCTTGAGAGGTGGGGCGGGTGAGAGGGAGGCGCTGGAAAACGTAAACGTTCACGCGCGCAGTTCGGACAATACGCGCAGCGACTGGAGCCCCTGTCGGATGAGCGTCGCCTGCGCATCGCCGCGCTGGACCAGCGCGAGATCGGTCAGCGCGTCCTCCACATATATACGGGCTGTGAGGCTGCTGGCCCAACGCCCACGGACCATGGTGAGCTCCATGCTCTTGGTCTGCGGGGAGCACTCTGATGCGCCGCAGCTGTGCCAGCTGAACGGGCACTGCAAGCCGAGGCCCTCCACCAACGCTGCGAGGGCCGCTCGCAGCTGGTGCGGCGACCTTGCGCTGGGCCTGTCACCGTCGTCCAAATCGTGCGTGACGAGCCGCAGCAGCTGGAAGGTGATGGGCGCCCTGATGACGACCGCCTCCGCTGCGTCGCGCCCCGCTGAGCCCTTGGACGCGGCGATGCGGTGGGCGGCGCACTGGCCTCGGAAAGCCACGTCGCCCCCGCGCAGCAGGCCCTCGAAAGCAACCATCAGGAGGCACGCGACGTCGACGGAGCCTGCCTCCAGCGCTAGGCTAGGCCAACCATGGCCCCGACGATCTCCGGCGTGAACGGGGGCGCGCGTGCCGTGGGCTGAAGAAGCACGCGCCCGCCGCCGCGTTGTTCGGCGCCGCGATGCCTGCGCCCGAGGCCCAGAGGACTTCCAAGTACCCCGAGACGAGCGCGTCGGCGTCCTGGCCCTCCTGGCCCAGCGCCTCGACGCCGTCTCCTGCGACGCCGTAGTGCTCCAGCAGGCGGCCGACCGCGGGGGAATGCCTGTGCCTTGTCGCAGCGCCCACGCGGAGCAGGACCAGCGACTGGGCCCGCAGGGCGCCTGCCCTCGGCCGAGCGCGCGCGGCGGGAGGCCCCCGCCCCGCGGGGGCAGCAGCTTGGGCGGCCTGGGCGCGGCGGTCCTGAGCCGCAAGCCACGCCGCAACCTCCTCGACGGTTCGTCGGCGGAAATGTCCTCCGACGCGACGTAGCCGACGACCGGGTACATGTCGGCGGCCACCGCGGCCGCGGCCCACCTGGCCAGCGCGGGCTGGAGGCGGCGGCTGCTGCCCCTGCCCTTCGTCACGATCGCTGCGACCACCTGGCTGTCGACGAGATGGGGCCACCTGCTGCAATGCCGCCTCGTCTTGCGGGCGCGCCACCGCAGCGCCGCTGCCGCCGCCTGCAGCTCCCGGACGTTTACGTTGGCGCTCTTGGCCGCAGGCCGCGCCGTGCTCAGCACCGCGCGCCACCGCCGCGCGAACGGATCGAGGCTTGACCGCGGCCACCCGCGCGGCCTGTAGAGGAGGCCGCAGTCCAAGCGCACGTCGGTCCCGCCCTTCTCCGCTCGGGCCAGGTAATGCAGCACCAGCCGTCGCGAGGCCAAGGTGTCCGGGAGCCCCGGCTCGCTCTCGTGCCGTCCGATGGCGTCCCGCGACGGTCGGCGCCAGCCAAAGTGCACCACCTCCTGCGCGTCCAGCGGCCTGCTCAGCGTCCTCCAGCGGCACCGCCTGCGCCAGCCATGTGACGACGTAGGCGCTGAAGAAGTTGCCCAAGAGAGAGCCCGTGCGTCGCTGCAGTCGCGCTCGTTCGAACCCTTCGCGGCGCCGCGGACGTGTAGTTCGCGTCGAAGCCGAGCGTCCGTCCTCTCCCTTCCCGAGCTGGAGGGGGAGCGAGGGGCGGGGCCCGCTGCGCTGTCCAGCAGCAAGTTTTTCTCCTCGTACAGGGCAGCGTGATATCGGAACGAGTCCGCCTCCCACCGAGCGCGCGCCGCCGCCAAGGCCTGCTGCGTACCAGCGTCGGGAACAGGCCTGGGGCACCCAGCCAGCGGGCTCCCTCGTCCTGCCAGGCCAGCTCGCAGAGGGGGCCCCTTGGCGCGCGGACATCGACCTCGCAGAACCCGTCCCTCGCGACTCCGGTGAGCGGGGCAGCGACGTGCGGCTCCCAGCTCATCCAGTGCAGCCTGGGACGTCGGCAGGGCACCATGACAGACGAACGCGCGACGAAGGGCTCGACGCCGAGGGCTCTGCTGATCTCAGCCCGGTTGTCCGCCGTCATGCTCGCGCCGTTCTCGACTTACCACTTCAGCTTGTGACCGAACGCCGCCCTGATGGGCTCCAGCAAGCGGGGCACCTCGTAGAACAAGCCGGACATCGCGCCGCGCAAGCCCGCGCCCGACGCCTTCAGCTTGGCCAGGTCCTGGCAGGGGCTGCCCGCGGCCGCCGCGCAGAGGTCGACCTCGTCGCAGTAGGCGTCCCGCAGCTCGTTCACGACAGCGGCCGCCGCGCGCGTCGCGTCGCCCCAGTCGATTGCGCCTGGCCAGCGCAGGCGCACCACCCTGCGCGCCTCGGCGTCCGTCTCCGCCGTGACGCAGCCCGTGGCCCGCGCAGGCAAGCGCGAGAAGGCCGCCGCCAAGCCCCCAATCCCGTCGAACAGGCCAACGAGGAGCACCTTGGGCGTCCTCAGAACCACGGCCCGCGGGATGAGGGGGTTGGTGACCGCCCAGGGCTCCTAGGGCTCTGCGGCCAGCTGCAGCAGGCGAGCCCCCAGGTGCATCTGCTCGTCGAGCGTCGGAGCGCTGCTGAGGCTGGCCTCCGGCTCGGCTCGGAGGCCCGCCGACGCGCGCCAGCCCCCGCCGAACTCGGACGCGTCCGAGACCGTGGCCATGCCCTCGATCTTGGCCCGCAGCGAGGTCGCGGCCATCGGCATCGTAGCGGCCAGCAGTTCCTCGAGCATCGCCGCCGAGAACCTCGCGTTGCCGCGCTGCGAGGTCAGCCCGCAGACCTCGCTGAGCAGGCTGACCAGGGGCCTCTGGAACTCGCAGAGTTTAACGAAGCGCCCGAGGATCGTCATCGCGAGCCGCCGCGGCACGGCCTCGAGCCTGAAGGAGGCCAGGCACAGCGCGATCGCCTCGAGCGACTTGGCCAAGGGGGCGGCCGGGCGGCCCGACTCGCCGTCGACGTCGGCCCCCATGCGCTCGACCCGAAGATGCCTGCAGTGAGCCTTCTCCGCCGAGTAGGCGACGCCAGCCCTGTCGTAGCTGGCTCGGGCTCTGATCTGCATCTTCGCCAGCGAGCCTATCAGGCGCCTGGCGCGCACCTCCTCCACGATTTCGCGCGCGTCGATGTCGTCGATGTAGACCTGCCACCGCGCTGAGTCTCCTTCCTGTGCGGCGGCGGCGACGCGCCGTGGCGCGTCCTTGCGCCGCTCCGCCTGCGGGGGCAGCCCCGCGCCCAGCGGCGGTGGCAGGCGGCGCAGCCGCACGTGGATGCGCTGGTGCACCGGGGCCGCCAGAGACCAGCCCATCGCGATCACCGCCGACGCGAGGTGCACCTTGGGCTCCTGCCGCCCGGAGAGCGAGCCCGCCAGGGGCCGCCCCGCCGCCGTGTAGCGGTGCCAGGCACGGGGCCCGCGCCGCACGAAGAAGCTCCCCTTCTGGTCGTCGCCCGACCACAGGAGCAGCGTCCCCTCGGGGATGTGCAGCGACACCCAGCTCGTGGATCCAGCAAGCGTGGCCGCCTCCCCCACGAGGGGCTCGATGGGCGCGTTGCCCGGCACCATGTTCGGGATGGGCCTCGCCCGGGCGCGCCCTTCTTCTCTGCGGCAGAGGGCCCGTTCAGCGGAGGCTCGCCGCGGACGTGGACCAGCTCCTCGGCGGGAAGCACGGTGAAGATCCCGAGGTCCACGAGGTGCATTGCCAAGGCCCCCACTCGAACTGCGAGCCGGCGTTGACCCGCGCCATCGTGGGGGGGGTCAGGGAAGTCCGCCTCCGCCTTGAGCCCCGGCATGGGGTCGGCCAGCCAGCGCGCCGCCTCGTCGTCGACGAAAGCGATCACGCTCAGGGTCGCCGTGTGCTTCTTCTTCGGCAGGCCAGGGGCCAGCTCCGCGAGGGCGCAGGGGGGCGCGCGCATCATGGGCCTCCCGCTGTAGTCCACTGACGATGTCGCGACTGCGTCGGCCAAGGAAGCGATGGCCATGGTCTCGAAGGGCTGCTGGGCAAACTCCGCCGCCTGCGAGCGGATGTGCCGCATGGCCGTCTCCTGCGCCAGCGTCCGCGGCGCCCCGAGTCGCAGCGATTCCCGAGCGACCCCGCAGCGCATGTGATTGAAGCCCGGCACTCTCGTGTATGTTCACGCCTCAGCCGTGACCGCCCTGGCCGTGGGTGTGAGGCGACGCCGCGAGCCCTTGGCAACCTGGGTCCACCTCGCAACCTCCTCGAGGGGCGGGAGAGGCAGCGGCGGCAGGTCCCGGGCTCGGGCCTTCGTGCCACTCGTCTCGAATGGGGGCGCCTGCCCTGCGAGACGACCCAGGGTGCCAGGATGCAGCTGCGCGAACATCGCGAGCTTGACTGCTGGGTCGACTCGTTGCATGGGCCGACCAAACTCGGCGGGCGACCTCCTGCGTCGCGCCGCCATGCTCTCCGACACCTCGCGCAGCGGCAGCGGCCCAGGCAGCGCCGCCTCAGCCCCCGCAGCAGCGGCCCTCGGCGCGACCGTCTCGGTCAGGGCAGTGCCCAGCTGCAGCGGCGGCGACGCGCCGCCCGCCCCGGCGCCATGATGCTGTCCCCCGCTGGCGGCGCTCGGTGCTGCTACACTTTTGCCGCTTTCGCCGCGAGCAGGGGAAGTCTGGGCCGCGCCCGACAACGGCGCCTCGGGCGGGGCGATGCCCGCCGCTTCGCCGTCCAGGGGGCGCGGGCCGCCGCCTGGGCAGGGGGGCCCTTCTTCAGCTCGGCCACGACGCTCGCGAGGCGACGCTCGAATGGGCGCTCGCCAGGCGTCTATTCGAGATATATGGCGAGCCAGTTTCGTGCGCATCTCTGAAAGTTACATTAGATCATCTGGTGAATAATTATATTGACGATAGCGATTGACGTGAATACTCTTAACGCATCATCTTGCAATGAAGTTAGACTTCTCAAGCGGGTGATACGATATGGCACAATTGCACGAAACTTAATGTCGAAGAAACGCCAGCAATATAGACGAAACCTATTTTTAACATTTCATGATTCCATCAATGGGTTAATTTTCTTTCTCCCCCCCAAAGCTCGGACTTATCATAGTCAGGTTTTTTGGCGTCATTTTTTAGTAACGGTTGTTGTAGTGACGAATGTATTGTATCATATCTAAGAGTTTGTTTGTTTCGTAATTTGAACAATGTACGATTTTCAGTTAGAAAATGCTAAACGTCGTTGTGTTTGTTCAATGCATTTTTTGGTGTGATAAGGGTTAAATGATTAACGTTCTACACAAGATGTTTTCCATTATGCCATCATGGTTACTCTTGCATGCAATCTAAGGTTTCTGAATTCTGAATTAAGGGACCTACAAATTCGTATTTGTTCTTGAACATGTAGTAATTTGTCAATCTTTGGTTCGTGCGATTTAGTTTGTCACTTAGTACGTCTTCTTTTGACGAGTTCTTAACTCGTTCTATTGTCAGGAGTCAGTGAATTAGCAGTTTCTGATTATTCACTAGGACATTTTTCTTTATATTCAATTCGTTGACATCGTTTTTCTTGAATTTACGTTGCCACGAATGATTGTTGTGCCGGAGCTTATACCGCATATCAACTTCATTTAGTTTATACCAATGTTATTCGTGTTTCGTTTTTCAGTGACTGATCATGTTGTTGGAGCTTTGCAGTTTTACCCGGCGCATGTTTCATTAATTTGAAATGTCCAACATGTGGGCTTCAAGTTGTAGTCTCGAGTATTCGTTTGTTTAAGATAGCGCAGCGAATTCTTACTTAAAACATTTTTTACGGATTAGTCTGGTTTATTATATTCAACAAATGTTTCATCTTACCGCGAAGGAACACAATTCGCTAGTTTGCATGAATATTTTTGTGGTTTATCCACATATTTTAGGCGTGTAGATTAAAAAAACACCAGATGATTCATACATCGGTAATTGTCCGTGCTGCTGTCGTCACTGTCGTTCGCCGTCGTCCTCTTTTCCTTGAGTCGCCTTCTCCGCTCCCTGCCTTTCCCTGGCCCTTCTGCTTTTCCTCGCTCCCGCCCTGCTTGTTCTACTGCTCCGTTCCTTCACTCTCTGTGTCCGTTCTCCTCTCTCTCTCTCTCTCCTTCTCTTTCTGCTGGGCCAGCTGTGCTGTTTTGGAGCGACCCGGAAGTTTAGACGATATTTTGGCTCGTCTCCCTCCTTTTGTTCCCTAGTAGTAACTCGTAGAGCTTCCCTTAGCTAGTTATAGCTGGAAGCTAAGAGTAATTCCGGCGCGTCCCAGAGCTAGTTGGCAAGAAAAATCTCGACGGACCTTTTGCTGACTTTTGGTCGGTTGAAAATTTTGTTCTCGAAATTTGACCATTCGTTAGAGCTCTAGTATTTTTTCCCATGATATTCGATCTTATTCCCGCTCGCCATCTTGATCTCAGCTCGATCGGGTAACTTTGAAGGCCAAAAAGCACACGGGCGGGAACGGCCGTTTCGAGTCATCTTGATACGCGCTGTCGGTTTTCTCAAGATAACTCGAGCTTCAGGACACCTACAGAGCTGGTCAGCACAGCTAATGCGTTCAGAATGATCAGGCGCGTTCGCCTGTTGAATCCAGAGGTCTGAACTCGGTCTGCTAGCCGAGCTAGGGTCGCAAACCTATTCGTATTATTCGAGTCATTGTAGCAGACGCTCTCGGTTTTTCGTACTTAACTCGATCTATAGGGCAGCCACAGAGCTCATACTAACAGAAATCGATTGAGAATTATCAGGCGCGTTCGTCTGTTGCATCAAGAGCTCTGAAATCGGCCTTCTCCCCGAGCTAGGTTCGCGAACCCATTCGTATTGTTCGAGTCATCTTGAGAAGTGCTCTCGGTTTTCTGTACATAAATCGTACTGGGGGAGGGCTATAGCTCTGCTGGTCACAGAAATCGATTTCGAGACATCAGGCGCGTCCGTTCGTCGAACCGATCGCTCGAAACTCGGTCTGCTGCTCGAACGAAATCTGCGAAACTGTTGTATTATTCGAGTCATCCTGAGAGGTACTCTCGGTTTTCTGCACTTAACTCATACTGTATGGGCTGCAGAGCTGGTAATCACAGAAATCGATCCGCAGACATGAGACACGTCCGCCTGTCGCATTCAGAGGTCTGAACTCGGTTTCATACTCGAGCTCGATTGGAAAACTGTTTGTTTGTTTTGTTAGAGTCATCTTTGGAGGTTCATAATCGCTTGGGCTGAAAAACTGGTCGTTCTCTGAAATTCGTTCCACATTATATATTGTCAGGAAGCTCTACGAGTCCCCCGGCGGTAAGAAAGGTTGACGGTTTACCGCCGGCGCCCAGTTTTAAGCTATGAGAGTGGTTTTGATTCATTCGCTGAAAGAAAATATTGCCAACCCCCACAACCTCGGCAAATCTGTGGAGGATCGTGGTGCTCAGGAAAGCGTGACACAAACAACATTTGAAGATGACATTTCTACAACATTGTCATGCGTGCGAATAATATCCTACTACTACTTCTACTAATACTCCTGCTACTACTACTAGTCCTGCTGCTACTACTACTATTGCTACTACTACTACTACTACAACTACTACTACTACTACTACTACTACTACTACTACTACTACTACTACTACTACTACTACCTTCCACGACTAGTGCAACCATGCTGCTACTACAGCAACCACTATTTGATTACTACGGCGACGACGAAGGCGACGTCTACTACTACTACTACTACTACTACTACTACTGCTACTGCTGTTTCAACCAGACTACTACGATAAGTACTACTACTACTACTACGACTACTTTTAATACTCGCACGAATGCTACTACTACTACTACTGCTACTTCTACTACTACTACTACTACTACTACTACTACTACTACTACTACTATTACTACTACTACGACTACTACTACTACTACTACTACGACTACTACAACTACCACCTTTACTACAACAACATATACTATTATTACTGGTACTACTACTGATACTACTTCGACCTCGACTACTACTGATACCACTGGCCAGGGTAAAGTATTAACTTGCGAGTTGATACTTTCGGTGTCGTAGGGTAACGCAAAGAATTAACTCGCAATCACTACTTCTTGTGTCGGTGGGAAATGGAAAGCATTAACTCGCAAGTTAATGCTTTTGTGACTTGTATCGTTGGAAACATGGTGAAGTATTCGCTCGCGAGTTATTTTTTTTCTTTCGGTGGCTGCGCATACCCGAAATGAGCAGTATGAACTCACGAGTTCATTCTTTTATAACTCGTGATTCGAATGTTGTCGATTTTTTTTAATATATATATATATATGTATATATATATATATATATTTATAGGCCGCCTGGACAGCTCTTCCTGGGCCGTGATGGGCCCCTTTGGGGGCTGTCTTGGGACCCTCTTGGCCTGTCTTGGGCCGGTCTTGGGGGTCCTTGGGGCCGTCTCGGGGCGGTCTTGGAGGCCTTTTGTGACGTCGTCGAACGTCGGAAATTCGAAAATTGACAACCCCAAGAACATAGAAATAACTTCTGGTAAATCAGAATGGTTTTCGCCTCTTGGGGCCCTATGGGGAGCAAAAATGGAGTCCTCTTGGGCCGTCTTGAAGCTATCTGGGGCTGCCTGGAAGCCCGCGGGACATCTCGCAGCCTTCTGGTATCACCGCCACTAAGGCCGTCTAGGCAGCTCTTCTTGGGCCGTCTTGTGCCCCACTTGGGCCGTCTTGGGGCGGTCTTAGGGGTCTCTTTGGCAGTCTCTTGGGACGTCGTGGAGTGCGGAAGTTCGGAAGTCCACAATCCCAAAAACATAGAAAAAGCACTTAGTAAATCAATGGCTTTTGTCTCTTGGGGTCCTCTGGGGAGCGAAAACGGAATCCCCCTGGGCCGTCTTGAAGCCATCTAGGGTTGCCCGGAAGCCCCGCGGGACATTATAAAGCCTTCTGGTGTCTCTGTGGCACTACTTCAAGCCGTCTGGGCGGCTCTGAGGTCGCTGGAGAGGGTTACCAGGGATATATATATATATATATATGCATCGCTGCTGTTCGCCGCCATGTTAAGAGTAGCTTGATCAGGGGCCGACAACTCTTCCAACTTTATCTCGCTCCCCGATCGGTTCATACCCCCATCTCCCGTCATGTGCAATCCCACCAGCCCTCTGGGCGTAGGTGGTCTAGAACAGATCCTCTTCCACCCCTCCCTCTTCCCCCTTGGGGAGGGGTTTACCCCTCCCCCTACCCCCTCCCCTGGACCTGGACGGGGGGGGCCGCGGGTAGTTAGAGCGTCCCAGATGGCCCAAGACGGCTCCAAGAGCGCCTCAGAGAACCCAAGATGAGCTCCAAGATGGCTCAAGATAGCGCAAGATCGCTCGAGATGGCTCCTAAGATGGTTCCAAGAAGCCCAAAG